ACAAGATATTTTAAAAAAACTTCATGTGACACGAATTTCAAATTTATTTTCACATATAGAAAAGCAGCCTCAGGGAAATGTCACACGACTAATATTTATTTAATAAATGTTCCCTTCTTGTTTTCTTGTTTTTCCAATGCTCATATGCTTTTTCGAAATTAAAATTTTTAATCCCTGGTCCATTTAATAAGATCATTAAATGTTTATCTAATGTATTTATTTGCATTTTATTTCTCAAGTTGTTTTTTATTAAATTTGTTTGGGAGAATATTCTTTCTACATGAGCATTGGAAAGGGGTATGAGAAGTGCTATTCTAACAACTAGTATTATGGTTGATAATTAAAGGAAAAATCTTCATCTGTATCCAATATGTGCTTCCATAATTGAATAAAATCCATTTCTTCATTATTATTTTTATAAGACCAAAGATAATACTTTACTTCATCCCATTCTTGCTTAAGTTTTTCTTTATCAATAATTTTTCTAAATTCATTTCCATTTAAATATTTAGTTTCTCCATAAAAATCGCCTAATACTTTTATTTCCTAATTTCCATATAAATCCAATTCACTATTGTTACGTGGAAGCTCTTTTGGATCAAAAATGCTAAAAAGAACTATATAATTCAGATTCTGGAAATCTATTTTTAATAGCATTAATAATTTCAGTTGAGTATTCAGTGACAAATTGAGTAATAAAACGATCATGCTTAAAGCTCCGAACGAGCCGAGTCGAGCCGAGTTTATACTCAGTTCGAGCCAGCTCGCATACAGAAAAGTGTTGGCTCGAACTCGGCTCGAGCTCGAAATTTGATACTATTTTTTTATAAAATCACGATTTTGCAAATCACCGAAAATAATCGGTAACTAAAAAATTCAAATGAGAGATTTCATGTTTTAACAATATTTGTACTTTTAATAAAAAACGTTTTTAGGTTCTGACATATATGCATACAGTCAAAAAAACCTTTGTTTTAACAAATTATAATTAAAGCGAATCATAATTAAATTCGCGTCACAATTAAATTCACGTTCAACAAGTTTAAAAGCTTGTATACATCGCAGTTATTTGCGGAGAATTAAAACGAAATGCAAAATGTTTAAAAATTGTTGAATTGGGCTAGAGTTCCTATCATAATACAATTCTTCGTTTTATATCCATTTTATTCTCGTTTTATCCGTTTGTTTTTTTATTATTATTCATTTTATTAATTTTTATTAATTTTTATTCATTTTATTCGTTTTTACTTGTTTTATTCGGTTTGTTCCTTTTGTTCGTTTTTATTCGTTTTATTCGTTTTATTCATTTTGTTCGTTTTGTTCCTTTTGTTCGTTTTTACTCGTTTTATTCGTTTTGTTTGTTTTGTCCGTTTTGTCCGTTTGTCCGTTTTGTTCGTTTTTACTCGTTTTATTCTTTTATTCGTTTTTTTTTCCTTACGTTCGTTTTGTTCGTTTTTATTTGTTTTTATTCGTTTAATTCGTTTTGTTCCTTTTGTTCCTTTTGTTCGTTTTTATTCGTTTTGTTCTGTTTTATTCGTTTTATTCGTTTTATTGTGTTTATTTGAATAAGTTGAGCAGACTCGAGTTAAAACTTGAATTTTCAAGTTCGAGCTGAATTCAAGAAAACAGGCTCTTAAATGGGTTAAAGTATTAGGATTAATGATTCGCTACTTAAAAAATTTTTATGTAACGTCAAACTCGAGCTCGACTCGAAAATCTCGGGTCTATTATTTCTTAGCTCGAACTCGGCTCGTTCGGAGCTTTATATATATATATAAAATCATTAAAAAAATACCTCAAATAATTTCTTTTAAATACATATACTTTGAGAAAAATGCCAAAACATAAGTCTAGTAGTTACAAAGACCAAGTAAGAAATCCTGATGGAACTTTTTATAAAAAATTAAAAAAAGGAAAGGAAATAGGTAATGTTTTCAGAAAAAACTCTTGGAAAGGAGATTGAATTGAAGAAATTCTTAAATTGAATATCTAAAGATTATTTTTCAGAAAGCACCCTTGGGAATGAAGCTGAATTGGACAATGATGATTTCTTGGAAGAAACTCTTGAAAATGAAGTTGAATTGGGCGAAGACAATTTTTTGGAAGTTCTTGAAAATGAAGTTGAATGGGGAGATGATGATGATGATAGTGGTTGGGAAGAAGAAGATATAGAACAAGAAAGAAAATTTTTTAAAAAATAATTGAAAAGCCAATAGAGTTAAAATGGACTGATGATGCACTGTTAGTAAAGCAAAAGAGAGGTATGTATATGAAAGGTAAGTCTCCAAGATCTACTTATTATGATAAGTATGGACCAAGTGGTTCATTTACTAAAGCCGCAGAAGGGAGTTCAAATATTACACAATTTTTCCCAAAAAAAGTCATGAGTCTAATGATTTACCAAGTGATTGGAGGGAGATTTTAGACAATTCTGATGATTCTGATATTGAGTGGGAAACTCAAGGTCTATTTAATCGAATAGAAACTTTAAAGAATGATATTATTACTAACCAAAACAAAATGTGCATATTGGAATATAATAAGAAATGTGCAATTTTTGGATATTTAAATAGATTGGACAACAAAGGAAGAGGGAAAATGAATGCTGGCATAGAAGCAGCTAAAATAATATTTATTGAAGGTAATCCAGGTAAGCCCAGAATTATAAGACGTTGGGCATCATTTTGGTTGAAAAATAATAAATTACCAGTTAGCAAACAAGGAAAACATCAAAAATTATCAGAATAATTGATGATGAAGATATTGCTGGAAAATGCCACATGTGGATAAGAAGTCAAGGAGGAACAATTACCCTTTGAAGTTCAAAAATTTTGTGGAGCAACAATTATTGGTAGAGAATGGAATCACTAAAAAAAAGGATATTAGTGTTAAAACAGCAACTGGATGGTTAAATATTTTGGGGTATTTCTTTAGAAGAATAAGCAGGGTTTATATTTTGATGGACATGAAAGGCCAGATGTTGTTGAATATCGTAAAATATTTCTTGAAAAAATATTTGAATATGAAAAATTCATGACCAAATATGATGATATAACATTAGAGCCAATTTCACCTGATCTTAAACACGATGAAAAAGAAATTATTTTGGTGACATATGATGAATGTATATTCTATTCAAATGATGGGAAGAGAGGAGTTTGGGCTAAAAGTGGTGAGTTGCCATTAAAAAAAAAAGGTAATGGTAAGTGAATTTTTGACTGAAAAAAATGGAAGATTACCTTTAAATGAAGTACAAATTCCAAGTAATCCATATGTTCCAGAAGAATCTAGAGTTATTTTAAAACCAGGTAAAAATTATGAGGGGTATTGGGCTAATGATCATTTAATTGAGCAGGTAGAATTTAAAGCTATTCCAATATTTGAAGCTCTTTTCCCAAATTGTACTGCTCTTTTTGCATTTGATAATTCAACAAATCATGGTTCTTATAAACCAGATGCTCTTGTGGCAAGTAGAGTGAATTTAAACCCAGGAGGTAAGCAGCCAAAAATGAAAGATACTGTTTTTGAACCTAATAATATATTTCAATCTATGGTTTTTGAAGATGGGATACCAAAAGGAATGAAACAGGTGTTGGTTGAAAAGAACCTGCGGAAAGAAGGTTTGTTAGCTGATTGCAGGTTATGCAAATGAAAAGTTGTGGATGAAGGTAGGGTTGATTGTTGTGCCAGAAGAATTCTATCCTTACAACCTGATTTCAAAAACCAAAAATCAGCTTTAGAAGAATTAATTTTGGAATCAGGACATTTGTGTATTTTTTACCCTAAATTTCACTGTGAACTAAACTTTATTGAAAGGTGTTGGGGTGAAGCTAAAAAATACACTAGGGATAAATGCGACTACACATGGGAAGGATTACAAAAGACAGTACCTGAAGCATTAGATTCAATAGATGTAATTACAATAAGAAAATTTGCTAGAAAGTCTTGGCAATATATGGATTTATACAAAAGTGGTATATCAAGTAAATTAGCAGATTATGCTGTTAAAAAATAAAAATCCCATAGAAGAATTCCTGAATATGTTTTTCATGAATTAAATAATATTAAAATAGATTAAATTTTGATTTATTGTTATAATTAGTGTTCCGAACGGGTCGGGTCGGGTTGAATGGACGACCCGACCCGACTTTTTTAATTATTGACCCGAACCGAACGGGTCGGATCGGGTACCCGGGTCAGATATAAAAAATTTTTCAAGTATTAATTAATATATGTAATTTATTTTGCTCATTTGAATTTAAAAAAAAATACAATGTGTAAAATAACTGGATTTTTAAAAAGAACAAAAATTCAAATTTCGATTTACTTAGTAATGTTATTATCTCTAATCCAATGTTTCAGGCACATGCATGCTTGAATTATTTCTTTCTTCAAACAACAATGTTTTTTGTGATTAGGTCACCACCACCTGAAAAGATTCTTTCAATGGATACACTTGTACCTTATATTAAATAATATACATATACTTATTTATTTTTACAAATTAAATAAAAGATATTAAAAAAAGATATTGTGAGCGTGCAATCCAAGTTTCCTATTTAATAGGTTATTTATAACTCAACACACAGCCTACCCACTGACTTACAGACAACTTTCCTTTATTTATATATTAGTCGCGGGACATTGCAGATCAAGTGTCATTCAATATAAACGTTACACGAAAAAATTTATTGTCGTCCACTT